CATTTGGCAAAAAATGTAGAAATAAAAAATTTAAAAAAAGAAAAGTGAACACTATAGCGTGTACTATACAGCCTGTCAAAATCAGGAAGGGTGATTCAAATGTCACAAATATAGGCTGGCTTCAGCTACCCAGTATAATACAAAAATATAATAAATATATAAAAACTGAGGGATACAATGTATTGAAATTATTTAGTCTATTTATGGATCCACTGCAGCCTGTGCAATAGGATTCTGGCCTTTTTCTGAATGCTTACACTAATGGGCACTGACAGCTTTACTATGAATTTCTTTTCACTTGCACAAAACAGCCTCTTTGTGATCATAAAAATCTGTTTTGTTCACCATCTCTAATGTGGGAGTTCAAACTCACAGTATATTCTAAGTTGTTGTTTTGAGTTGCTTTTTTCTCATTTTATATCAAATGAAAGCAAAAGTTTAAAAGGTTTCCAGACAGGCGTGCCAAACAGTGTGCAGGCAAATATCAAAACACATTTTAATTACACTTACTAAATGGGTAATAAAAGGGGAACAGATGTGTGTGGTACATTATAAGCACTGGTGTTTTTGCACAGACTGTTTGGTTTTATGATGAAGGGACAGAGGTGGTCGCATATTTTTCTTGCAGCACCTCGAAGCAACAGGCATCATTAACCAAAAAAGTAGTCCCCAAGCCAATAAAACGTATAAGCTCCATACACATACTCTTTTAAACTTACTGACATCCCATTCAGTAATCATTCCATTAATGTACAACAAGTTTCATATTTCCTGCTAAAATAGCATCCAATTTATTTATGTATTTGTTTATTTTTATGTTTCTCATGAATGGAGACATATGTTGAGTTTCAGTTGCAAAATTCTCTGTTCTGCCACAGCGAAAGATTCCCCGGCCCGCACCACAGATACAAGGACACTGCAGCTCTATAAGCAGCCCGTGCTTAAGCTAGCTTCTGCTCTATTGATCTGAGCTGAAACCACTGCTTCACAGAGCTAAATCTAAAACTGAGAACGAAAAAAAGCATAACACAAAAGAAGAAAAGGTGCCTGTGGGGGGATGAATTTTAATATTCACAAAATTACGACCGAGAGGGGAAGAGAGGGAGAAAGATGCGTGTATGTTAAAGCAGCAGAATGGAAAGGACATTTGAATAGCTTGCACTGTATGACGAATTAAAGGATTCTGTCAGTGCAGATGAAAGGCGGCCCGGTGGATGGTGTACAGCTATAACAATAATTTACACGTGGCAAACATTTCTCGTGATGTTCTTCAGACACTGACAGCACACGGCGTTTGAAAAGTGAGATAAGGACATGCAGTTGACATGCAGTGTGCTGCTCTAAGAAGCTTTCTTTGACACTTAAGCTGCACACGTTTCTTTTGCTTACGTGCTGTCTGTGGAGATAGCAGCCCCGCTGAACCAAACGCGAACTAGCTTAGTGTTAGATACATACTTGTCAGCTGTGAGTGTCAAAGGAGTCTCTTTAAGTCACAGTTGTAGATAAAGTGTTAAAATATCTGCTTTGGATTTACAGCACTTAGTTCTTAAGTACATCAATCCTTATATCACTTTTTAGACATCATGTCATTAGGTATGTATGCTTAATGCATACACGTTTTTATTTCCAGCCTTTACACAGTCTCTTGAAATGTGCACAGTATCTTTATTACATACCCTTCCACAGTAACCCCATATGGAGCCAGCAACAATGGAAGAGATCAGATGAGCAGTTACACTTTTGGCTCTCTGCGGCCATACAGTGGTTCACAGAAGACCTGAACCCTCTTTAATTTATTAAACAAGCCCAACTCGCAAGGCCAGGCGACAAGGAGGGTGTTATAAATATTAAAAGAAGAGTTTGCTCTGCCACACTCTCATATTAAATCACACAGAGAAAAATGTATCTGCCCTTATTAAAAGATAATGTGTTCTGGAGCCATAAAAATGTATAACCCACAACTCTAGATCCCTCTCCTCTTCCCCCTTCTTTCCTCTTTTGTCTTGGTCCAAGTGAAATTTCAGCCTTTTTGTGTGCATCAATCTCTATTTTCTCCATTTTTACTTTGTCTCTTTGTACAGCCTTGTTGTATTTTTTTTTCTCCGTCGTTGAGTAACAGCGGACTAGACCAGAATACATAAGAGGAGAATAGATGATTTTTTTTCTTTTTTAACTCACTCACACAAAAGGCATCTACACATTGTAAATGTTGCAAGCTTTTGACGCTGCATGAATATCAAGTTAATGGAGTGCTGGAAAATTTGGTCTTGAATGTCACACAGTCTTCCCTTTATCTTAAAAGGGGCTTGAAAAGTTGTGAAATTTTGAACATTAATAAAACAACCAAACAACTACAGTATGCAGATAAAATCAATGGCACCCTTAGCCCAGAATGAAGTCAGACTCCCTCTGCATTGTACCCTCAGCCCATTTGAGGTCCCAACTTTCAAACTATTGGCCCCTTACTGTGTCTGTAGGGAGAGTAGAACATTTTCACACATGTTCTGTACTTCTCTAAACATTACACATCAGGACCTCATGTGAGAATCCAGAATCAGCTGGATCTGACGTTAACCACCCACCTCCCTAGCACAAAGTCCGCGAAAGTCTGATTGAGCTCGTGTGAGAAAAGAGCCGGTAATTACCCAGGTAATTCAGAGCAAGTGAGAATTACGTGTCCTGCAGCCTGCAGGCTCTACCCATCAAAATGAGGATTTCCTCCAGTGAGGATCTTCTGTCGAGAATCTCCTGCAGTATTCTTTTTTTTTTCTTTTTTCTTTTTCTCTTTTTTAAAGAAGGACAACTTCAGACAAGGCCTCAGCTTGATTATCTCGACAGTGTATGGAATTCATGTGTAAGAACGGCTGAATAGGGTGACCACTCGCAGCACATTGTAAAATCTTTGAGAAATCCTCTGTATGCGTGGTGCAGTGAAAAACTCTTGCTTAGCAGAGTGGATTAGAGGCGAGAGGAGAGGAAGATAATGTTGGGCTCATGGTGGTCAGATTGATCCAGCAAAAGCAGGACCTTCTTATTTTTGTCAAAGCCTATCCACCAATGCAACATAACCAGCTACAGTTTGGTGAGAGACTAAGCTGTTTTTTTGTTGTTTATAATGTCTAGGATCTGGCTAGTATGCTTCTTTCTAATGCCACATCAACACACACACTGATTTTGATTTGTTTTATTTAAACCTCTTTTGTTCAGCCGCAGACGACGACTCGAATAATATCACTTGAACTCTGAGCAGCTCTATATGTAGCTAAAAAGGCATTCTGCAAGTTTTTTTTCACATATGCAATAATACTCCCTAAGCTATCGCCAATAAATCAATAAAAATGGAAGTGTTGGCATGGCCTTGGAGCTATGAGGGGGCAGCAGCACGATGTATGACTCGTGTTATGAAGATTGCATTAATGTTTCAAATGTTTGAACGCAGTCAGTAAGAACCAAATGGGTTATTCTTCTATTTCTGAAGCCACTGAAAGCGCATTTTTTTCAGGATTTGAAATTTTGCGTTGTAATCTATACAACAATCAGACATCCAGTTGGCTTGTTTGTGGCTGTATAATAGCCAAACCAGAGTGGAAGCGGTCAGACGGTGATAGTGTATGATGTGTTTAAAAAAAAGAAGAAAAAAAATACTCACAGTCCTGACAGGTGGAGGTGAGGAGACACAACCATGTGTGTAACTTAATGCCCTAGTCCTCGCCCTGCTGGGTCCTGCCAGGGGAACATTCCTCTACTCTTTGCTCCACTGACCAAGCAGAACTGCGGCGCAGTGAAACCACAAACGTCTGTGCATATGCGTGTGTGTGTGTGTGTGTGTCAATTTGAGTGCGTGTGTCCACTGGGAGGCAGTGAAGTCTGACAGCCTGGTCACTCGGACCATGGAGACTTATGGAGCGAGAGCAAGCCAGCTGTTCAATTTGGCCACATGGGCAGACAGAGAAAGAAAAGGAGAATACTGAAGAGAAACAGTGTCAATATACGACGTGTGTTGTATGGCTAAACCATCCTCCTATCACTGCCTGCCCTGCTCTGACATTGCTGTATTTTAGCTATCACGAGCCCACGCACTGCACACAGACTGGGGCAGGGTTGCATGTGGCATTCCTCGGAGAGGATAATGAGATAAGTACTAATTTCTCAGGTGTCATAGACTGATATGAATAATACAGGCCATTCCGTTACCTATCTTCCCCACTGCTGTCACTGTCACCTTCTTTTTTTTAGATCCACCTACAACGTGTCCGTATGCTGTCAGCGCATCGGTGTCGTGTCTTACCTTGAATAACCTGAAAACCAGACTTTGTGAAAAGAGGAAGTCAGTGCGAATAAAGGAAATAAGCTTTTGTTAGAAGAAAGGGAAACCTTTGATGAGTTTTAGCATGAGGTGTGGACAGGCAGATTCCTTTCTCTTTCATGACTATCATCTCTACTGCTTATCCAGCAGCTGGAGACCTGTATTGACTCCTTATTCATTTTCCCAACAATTTCTGGCTAAGAATCAGAAAGAGATTGATCCCCCCCCCCCCCCCCCACCCCTTTTATTTTCCAAGTGATGATTTATTTACTGTGTACTGCTCTTCCACTACTGCCCTGGTTTGCATGTTGGGGACTCTTACGGCACTGTGAGGGTGGTCCTGAATTATTCACTTCTTTTCTCCAAGTCCCTCTTTCATTCTCTATTTCCTTCATTTTGCAGGGCGAATGTGTGCCTGCTTGTCTCTTTGTGTAAATCTGGTGTCCGTCTCTCTTCCCCTCTCTCTTTATTTTATTATTCTCAGACAGCTACAAAGCTCTGCTCTGACTGCATGATGTGAACCAAATGATAGCAGCTTAGAACAATCGTTAAAGCAGGAACGAGCTGGAAATAATCATCTCCTTCCTCTTTGCTCTGTTGTGTACTGTCTGCTGTTCTCTTCTCTTACCCCCTAACCTCACCAATTGGCACTTTCATCAGCTCTCTTTGTCTCTCTCTCGCCGTCTCTCCTCAGATCCCAATGCTCTTGGGCAGCACGGCACTGACCATGCCTTGATCGGAGGAGTGGTGGCTGTAGTGGTCTTTGTCACCTTGTGTCTAATCATCGTTCTGGGAAGATACCTGGCCAGGCATAAAGGTAAAATCCACAGTGGACCAGACCTACGGCTTTCAAGGCTCATGGAGCTAGTGGAGCATGTCCTTCTTGTCCCATTAGAATACAGTCCTTTCCCAATTCCCAAGTTACACCTGCAAGTGTAGAACAAAAGTGGGAAAGCTTACACCATCCACACATCAGAAATGTTAATGAATATGTGCCTTTGATATGCAGCACAAAGTAATAGCACATGTTGTTATTGTAATTCACTCTCTATCCATGTATTTATCAATAATGGGAATGGAGTTTTTTAATTGCGCAGAGGTCCGTAATATTATTTTAATTTAGTTGTGATGATGATGGGAGAAAATAAACATTCATAAATCCACTTTGGCACCACAGGGAAAAAAAACATTTTATTCCCAGACAGTATTAGACAAATAGTAATAATGTGAGGGAAGAAATTCATTTACGCAATTAAATGTGCTTCCTGTATGTGTAAATGTAAATCACTTCTCAAACAGAAAGTGATCGATTGATTCTCAAACTTGTTACAGTTTAGCTCCAAGTTCGCAAAGAAGAGTGGAAATAAAGTGAATTCCAAGTTGCTGCTCGGTTTTCGTCACTAATGCCACAACATTAACTTCTAAGTTTAAGCTAAGAGCTCAATTTGGACTTGCAGCTGTGAGTTCTGATGGTCGTCACACGCAACGTAGGAGGTGTTGATGCTATTCTGCTGTATCGATGCAGGGTCTCCCAAATTTAACTCTGCTTTATTTAAATACTCCACTACACTATCCCAGCTCCTCATTGTTTTAGATATGAATAATGTAACACTACTGATGTTGTCTTCAGATGTGGTTTTTTTTTCGCCTCAGGCAGCCAACACCATGCAGGGCTGCTTGGTATTTGTTTTCCTCAATAGAAGTTTGTTTTTTCGTTGCCACAGGAACATACTTGACAAACGAGGCCAAAGGAGCGGATGATGCCCCCGATGCCGACACAGCCATCATCAACGCCGAGGGAAACCACGCGCACGCGGAAGAAAAGAAAGAATACTTCATTTAGACTGCAGGGGGAGCTGTGCAGCTCTTGCCTTCTCATTTCCTTCTTTCGATCTCTGTACTTCTTATTCTCTCTTTCCGTCTCCCACTTTTCTTGTTCTCCTCCGGCCACTGGCCCCCATCATGTCAACAAGGAACCCACAGGCAGTCCACAAACAGACAAGTTCCCAGTGTGTTTTCCTGTTATTTCCTTCTGTTGAAACGATCTCTGTCATTTACATCTTGTCCTTTATTTTTTCATTGGTTTGGGGGTTTTTTTGTTTGTTGTTTTTTGCTTTTGGCAGATGTTTTTCACTGGCAGCTTGCTGTTGCTGCTGAAGTTGCCCCTTTGTCACTTCCTCATCTTCAACATGAATACCTAGAAATCTGTAAATCTACCATGACTGCTCCTTAGCCCTCTCGTTAGTCTTTGCTCCTCTTCCCCACCAAGCAGACACCCAAACACATATTCCTGTTCACACACATCCATGAACACATATCATCTCTCACATCAACACGGTGCCTAAAAATACAGACGCCATTGAACTTCTGTCAATGCCTTCATGTATCGTCTGTCAGTAGCAATGTAAATGCTTTGTAGATGGTTACCTTAGCCATCATTCCATTGCTTAGCTCACAGCTTTTGATTACGCATCGAATCTTTTTTTTTTCTGTTTTCTTTTTCTTTTTGAATGACAATTTGTGCTATTTACGCCTTATACATGTCTGTCACACTAAATATGGTACTTTTAGGTGATCCACTTTTCCCTATTCCATCTCCCTCTAAATAGAGTTGTAATTAAACCGTTGACCCTTGTAAGATACGAAGAAGGACTTGTGTAACACTGTAGCAAGGTTTATCAGATACAGTAAGTGTACAATATGATTTGCATTATTAGGGTAGGAGTAATAAAGGGTAGTGTGGTATTGTTTAGAGCAGAGAAAAACACACCAAAAATATATGAAAGATGCTAGGTCAAGCATTCCTTTTCAGCAAGCATAATCAAGTATATAAAACCACTTGCTAAATGTGCTGCCCAGGTACTTTTACCTGTATAGTCCTGCACCGTCCAGGCAGCGGTTTAGCAAAACACCATCACCTTCAGTGTCATCTGAACAGCTTACGGTAGTTTGTGTTTTCCATAAAGGGTTCAGGTGTGCAGAAAGAGTCACTCTCCTCTCTCTGTATAGGCTGTATAAATTGTATTCAAATAACTTTAGCTTTTCACTTTGAATAATTTGGTTATCGTTTGTCACATTGGAATTATTTTAAGGCTTGAAGAACCCGTGAAATGTAAACTCAACCATAAGGTGTTAAAACAAGACCAGACCAATAACATCTGTTTGATTACTGTCATTGTTTTTGATTCTGTCACCTTCAAATTTATTTTTAAATAGTTTTTAATAGTTTAGTGAAGCTGCCCTCATCAGCTTGTCATGCTTTTTAAGCCTATTTTCCCAGTCTGTCTCCATTAACTCAACTTTCATTTCCATTTCACGGGGTCTTCAAGAAAAAAAAAAAAGCAAATAGAAAAAGAAACAAATGGTGTGAGTGCTGGGTCAGGGATCTGCAGGGGCCTCTTTTCCAAAACTTAAAAAAAACTGAAAACAAATAGAAAAGCACAAAATTGTCTGAATGAGTTACTGTGTTCATTTGCCAACAACTAGATCGCCTTGTGAACGGTTCTTTCATTCAAATGGGTAACGAGAAGATGACAAGGCTGTCTTTGATTCAATTCTGAAGAAAAAAAAAAGTGCAGTGCATCTTTTTGAAAATGTAAGCTAAATCATGTTTTTATATTTAAAAAGAAAATGTTTCTAATATTTTTTTGGTTTTAATGGTTAAGCTCCCTGCTGTATATTGTGTCTGCTACAATGTGGTTGGTTGTGAAAATTGCTGTTAAATTCTGGATTCCTGTATTTGCTCAAATATGTATATTAGCCACCTTATCTAATTACTTTTTTTTCCATTACATTATCCTCATTAGAGAAATTTTAAAACAAATGTATTTTTGTTTTGGCACAAGGCATGTAAATAATGTGTGAGAACTAAATTTTGGTAATACACATTAGCATGTTTTTGTTTGGTTCTTTTTCATGTTTAATTTATTTGAAATTGAAATTTATTTAAGAGAGAACCACAATGAAGATGGTATATTTGTACCTTGATTTTGGGAAAACGGTGGCTTTGTGTGTTTGTGGCCCGACCCTAGTTGCTCCAAATCTGAAGAAGTTGATGTTCTAGGACATTTGGCAAATCAAACGCGCAAAACTCCGGAATAAGCTGCTTTTCCATGGAAATTGAGGTAATAGAATTTGGAGCTGAAATCAAAAGAAACAATACCTCCATGCCGGTTGCAAGAAAGTTTCCACATATTAAGACAGCCATGACGCGTCATAGTCAGCAACCTTTCATCTTTCATGAGTTTGGAGAAGTTTGGCTTCGAAGGAATGATCCTAAATGCTCAAAAGCAAGGCACTAGTCTGCTACCAGGGAGCAAATTATAATCAAGGGCAATAATATTTTGGGCCAATTGTCTCCATTTTGGTGGTCTAATTTACAACATTATGCAAATAGGGTCAGCAAAAATCTTTTGTCTGTATTTTGTTACTCGAGCACTTCTCGAGTGAACCACAAGTTGGGAATAATTAAGTCAATCTACTCAGTTTTACCTTTCATCATCGATGTAGGATTTAGGGGGTTTTGACATTTTAATTAATTTTTAAAAGCAATTATTTGTTTGTTTTGAAAATAAAGAAGCTTTGCCACAGTTTCCATATCTCACACTTTTAGTGCACTGAGCATATCACTATATACAGGTTCAACTTCAGCGTCACCACAAATGCTCTACACAAAGTGTTCTAGTCTAACATGGTTCTAGCAAACCTTGGGTTTTACATGTGTAGATACATTTCTTACAATGATTTAACATCCTTATCTTTCTTTCTTTTTTTGGTTTTGTATCTCGTTCTATTCATTGTGTCTTAAATCACTGATGGTGTCGATCACACTTGGTGTTGCTTTACAACTCCAACTTTGAAACAGGAAAGTAGTTGAATGACTTTGTTGATTCTGAAGTCAGAGAAACAAGTTAGGCGGTTTCATATCAAACACACTGAGAATTAACCGGGTCTGCAGTGATGAGTTGATGCTGGCATTAGTAATTAAACAGTTGCCATTTACTCAAGTATGCACTCTGACCAATGTGGTGGATATTTCTTAGTAATTAGTAAAATCTGTGCTTTGTTTTGAGGTTTGTTTTTTCTTTCTGAAACTCACATGTAAATGTTTGTTTTGACATAATAGTAATGAGCTAATTTGTTGCAAATGGATTTTTATAATCATTAGACCAAACCTGAATCTTGTTTAATTTGTTGTTTTAGCAGCCTGGCACATACGACCATGCACTACGACAGGATCAACTGTAGCTCTGTTATATCTTGGCTATCTTTGTTTTATTTCTGTATTGTTGTCGGCTGAAAATAAGCTTTAAACGCGTTGCCTCCTTGATTTTCAACGTTTATCAGTTGGGTTAATATTCGCTAGATCACAAGCCTTTAATTTCATCCTGGCAGCAAGACGGTAAAGGCACTAACAGAGCCGCAGTGCCATTTTCATTGGGCACAAGTCCATTTTGTGGGATTGTAAGTCTCTAATTTCCTGGCTCCAAACAAACCCGCTTTCTTCAACTGAAGGTGCGAGTCAGGGAGCTGCGGTTGTGCATTTATGCAGATTTAACAGTGCAATACTGGCAGTAATTTCGACATGAAATTGCACCCAGTTCTGTGAACAATTTCCAGGTTGGCGGAGACACAAACAAGCCTGTGCAAAATCACATTAAAAAAAGTTTCATGTATAGGCTACTGTTTTGCCTAGGATTTGTCAGGTTGAAATGCACAAAACCCACACCTTTTACGGGATGTAAGCTGCTTGCAGTGGGTTAAATTGGAAGATTGTTTATAGTTTCACAGTTCCTCGTGGGTTTGTGAGACCATTCGCTTTGAGTTGATAAAACTTCTATCTGTAATCATCTCGTGTGTTCTGTTCTGAATGCAAAAGACGGTAACTGTATGATCTCAAATTACTGTTACTATTTACAATGTGGGCTGATACAGTATATTGTTGCCTAAAAAATGACCAGATTACAGAGTATCTTATAAAGTCACATTAAAACACATATTTGAAAATCTTTATATTAGTGCCTTGTGACTCTGCACCTGAAGTTTGCCACTGAACCACCCACCTGGGCTCATTTAAAGAGGAATCAGACAAGTTGATGCGATGTGTGATTAATAAAGCTTTACAAACCTGCTAAATAAAAGACACTCGTTTCATCGTATCACGCTGACCTCGAAGCAAATCGGGTCACCAAACATCGCAGGCAGTAATGACACACACGTATTTTTTTAACTTCCAGGAAATTAGAGGCCCACGTTAGTATTCAAAATATTAAAATCTGCTTATAAGCAGAAGTGAGCGTAATGGACACTTTGGGTTATAGTCTGTCAGAAATTCTCCCTTTTTTAATCTTATGGTTTATATTTTTTTAATACATGAGTTTAATGGCAAATGTGTTCTCTACAGTAGTGCTTGTAACATGACATGGCTTGTTCCTGTCCCATCTCCCTTCCTCTGGCTCTTCAGATGTCTTTGCTGTACAGTATGGCTTCAGTGCACTTCTCTATCACTCTGCAATAGTGACACAAGAATCAATCAGCCCAATTTCTTTACTGTCACACCGATGACAACATGTGACACAATCGCATGTAGTGATGTTTCTTTTTTTATTATTATTATATCTGTTTCTTTTGTTTTGCATCTCAGGAATATATTTCATTTAGATTTTGTTCGTTTGTTTGTTTGTTTCCTGTCTTAAAATGGGGACTCGTGAGCACTTTTCACTCTGCTAGTCCCTGTGTGCTGACACCATGTATTTTTTGAGTTTTAAGATTATCACAATGATAATAAAAAATGATTCAGTGACTCTTCAATAATTCTGTCACCTTGCTGTCATTGGAATATTAGACTAAGGAAACCTTTTTTCTTTTCTTTTTTAATTTTTTGATCACTGACTTGAAATACTGAGATTTAGAAATATGCTGCAAATTACTGAGTTTCAACAATGATGGAAGGTGTCTTTAACAGAATCTAATTTTAGCTTATGTAAGCGGTTCAGTGCTTTTTGTCCTTTATCATGTTTCCCTTTGTAGCAACACACATCTTTATGTATATCAGTCTTTAGGTGGCAGGTGCTGCAAGGCACTGTCTCTCACTAAATACAAAATATCCACAGTGAGGCTCAGTAAAGATCAGGATTAGAGCTAGACAAATGTTAGTTCAGCCTCTGATGTACCTTGGTGAAATAGGGGGTTTGATATCAAGCTGTACTCCGAAAGCTTGATTTGATATATAGCACCGTAACGGAGGTGTTTCTCTCCCATTGTCTGTGGGATTTATTATATTTAATTTAGAGGTTCGTATGTATGAAATGAAATTGTTGAATAAATAGTTGCCAAAACATCTGTACAAGCCTGATTCCATTTTTTCAGTCATCATTTTGCTCCTGAAAGCCTCTTACCTCAGTATTTCTCAACTGAGCGATAATCATATACAATAAATACGCTGGAAACATCTGAATTTGTCCTCATGAGGATCAGTGCACAAGCGCACCCACACAAACACATGCATATACACATACTTGCAAAAAGACAAGAAAACGCATGCACAGATACGTGTTCATGAATTTTTATTAACAAGAATAATTCGTGTTGTGTTTTTGCGCCCTATCTGAGCTCTGTGGTTGTGATGGTACTATGATACCATCCACATTATAATGTTTTCAATATTATTAAATCCCCAGTTTGAAAAAGGTCGGTACATTAGGTAAACTGTAAATAAATACAGAATGCGATGATTTGCAGATCTGATAAATCCATAATTTACTCACAACATAGAACACAGAAAAAACATAAAAAATTAAACTGTGACATTTTACTAATAGTAACACGCTATGAATTTAACGGCAGAAGAACATCTAAAAAAAAGGTTGTGGTGGAAAAGTAAGGGGGGGGGGCTAAAGTGGTGGAGAAACATTTTTCATCTGATTAGGTTTATTGGCATCTGGTCAGTAATATGATTGGGCATAAAATTGTAAATTATAATTGTAAAATTGCATTGATTTTGAATCTTCTACAAATTGTGACAACAAAAGATTCAGAGAATCTGAAGAAATTTCTGTGAATAAGGAATAATGGCAAAAATCAATATTGGATTGCTGTGATCTTCACTCCATAGAGTGGCACTTTGTTCAAAACAGGCATGGAAATCACTGCTTTACCAAAAAAACAAAACAAAAAAAAACATTTGGCACATCATAAAAGCAAAAATAGCTCATAGAAGACCCAGGGCTGCTGAGCAGCTGTAGTCCTCAAACAGATCCGAAAGTTCAGAAGCTCCACTCTTATGTTCCCAGATGTTTAAAATGTCAATGTTGCTGCATTAAATTCAAAATGACATTACTTTTTTCTTAAAATTGCAAATTTTTCTCATTTTAAACATTTGGTACGTTTTTGTGTTCATCCTGTTTCTTTTTACAATTCCACTTTTGTTGGATTTGAGGTTGTAATACTCCTTCAAAAGTGTCGCTATCTGAGATATGCATGAGGAACTTTGAAATTAGTGTCAGTAAATCAGAAGAGAGCAGTGCATGGAAAAGTCGTTGAAAAGAATGAGGGAAACCTGGTGATTTATTTCAAGTCTATGTTGCTGGGGAGAAATCACTC